CGTATTTCTATCTTCGGTTTTTTACTGCAAATGTCTGAGAAAATAGCCTGATTGAATAGAAAGACATAAATAATAATCGTCCAAAATCTTCTGTCTACACTATCCCCCCAAAATTTCTAAATTATCCCCTGGGGGTTGAAATCACTATGCTAAATACTTACCGATGAAAAAGCTAAAACTAGCAGTAAACCCTTCATTTCTAGAGTAGAGACCTGTTGAAGTAACTAAAACTGATTTCTGTAGGTTCGCTTATAAATGATTCAAGATAAGGAGAGAACTAGAGTGAAACGAAGCAAGATGTCTTACTTTGATAAGAAATCCCGACCAGATAAGTCGACTAAAATCACGATCTATATTTCACAATGGCCTCTATGGTTGTTTTAAATTTTACTTCCTGTAGAAACAAGAGGAAACGTTATTGACGTAATTTATGACGCAATAATCAATCAAGGCAAGCTGATTGGTTAATTTCGCATTTCCTTTTAATGCAGGTGTTTAAAATACGCATCACTTTTTCACACCAAGTTGAGTGATGTATCGATGTTAGTGTAAGTGTTAAGCCATAGGTGTGGTGTACGGTGCGCAATAATCGATACAAACGAAAAAAAGAACACACGAGGTAGAAGTCAGTATACGGTGCAAACAACTCGTTTATTTTATTTTCTACTGTATTAATAACCTCATACCGTACACCGCACTGACACCGTACCTGGTCTATTAGCACCTTACGCGATACACACCAACTATGAATGATTTAACTTCAAGAGAGCTGCCTTGACACATATACACTAATACAATCGATTGTGGGCTGTGACCATGGCCCCAGAAAAGAGACTGACCCGCACCCCACCCCCTCACCTTTTTTTCAATTTACATAGTAAAAGAATGGTCTGTGGACCCGCAGGATCAATTTGTTCGGACCCCTCATCTACTGTTTCCTAGAAACTGATTGTGGGCTTCCAGTGTTCTCACTCGGTTTCCCCCTGTCAGTGATGCAGGTAAGAGGGGCTGACATGGAAAAAGCGTCTAGTCGTTCGGATGGGACAATAAACCGAGGCCCCGTGTGCTACAGGCTGTGCACGTTAAAGATCCCTCGACAGTTGGAAATCGAAAAAGAGCAGGCTAATGCCGCTGTCCTGGCAAAATTTCCCTCGTCGCAACCTGCATGGCGTTGCCCGTCTTCATTAGCCCACATGGTGCAGAAAAGTGGGACGTAAAACTCCATTCATTTCATTTCATTTTCAGTGTTCTCACTAATACCAATAATCACACATATACCCACACGATCTTTGATATCGGGCGGCGGGTAGGTGTAAACATGCCATTATAAAATGGTGTTTCTGTGATTGTAAATCGAGCGTCATTCACCTGTCATACCATTTCAAAGTTGGTGTCTCTAATCCATATTATCGTGACACCAACCCGAAAAACACCATAGAAATGAGAAATCAAAGTCTTCGAAAATGTCATGTTCAGCTAGCTAGCTGACCGTAACACGATAGCAGTGAACCACCGTTGATCTAAACTATCGTGTCCAGCTAGCTAGTAGATTGTGACACGATAGCAGTGAGCCACCATTGATCTAAACTACCGTGTCCAACTAGCTAGTAGATTGTAACACGATAACAGTGAGCCACCATTGATCTAAACTATCGTGTTCAACTAGCTAGCAGATTGTGACACGATAACAGTGAGCCACCATTGATCTAAACTATCCTGTTCACCTAGCTAGTAGATTGTAACACGATAGCACTGAGCCACCATTGATCTAGACTATCGTGTCCAACTAGCTAGCAGATTGTAACACAATAGCAGTGAGCCACCATTGATCTTAAATATCGTGTCCAACTAGCTAGTAGATTGTAACACGATAGCAGTGAGTCACCATTGATCTAAACTATTCTGTTCACCTAGCTAGTAGATTGTAACACGATAGCAGTAGGCCACCATTGATCTAAACTATCGTGTCCAGCTAGCAGTTAGTAGATTGTGACACTATTTTCATATTGAGAATTGTATTACTCTGTTGTTGTTTATAAAATTTGAATCCAGCTAAACACCATCAATCAAAAACTCCATTTTATTCATTATTACGGGTATTCCTTTCTAGTTTGGTAGATGACAATACGGGTTTTTCTTACACTGTGCTATCTCGGCCTGAATGTACGCCTGGTCATGGCAAGTTTTAGGGGGGTAAATTGGGTTGTGTAGCTTCCCACATGTCAAGCCTATAAATAACAATAAAAACTCTGATATATATCAATATAGTTTCTTAGTCCGAAGCACCTGTCTCTATTTTAGTCTCTGATAGCTGTTTTGAAAGTAATTGATTATTCCAGTCGATAACTGTCAAAATATCTATCAGAGATTGGAATAGAGGCACATGTTTCGGACTAATTTGTGATAGGACGATTTAACTGTGTTCTGATTCTGTTACTACATTATTTCCCTTATTCTATTAATCTTCCAAAGAATCATGACCATTATTGAGTGTTGTAGATATCCAAATACAAAACAGTCAATTCACAACTAACGTGTTCACCTAACTCGTAAATGATTCAATGACAGTTTTTTTTGTGTTATTTGTTTGTGTGGTCAGAAACGGACTGGAGGTTACGAAAATATAGCTACATATTGTTTGATACAATGACATTTTTCTGGAATGGAACTAGACTGTTTTCTGTAGTCAGAATGGGACTAGAACATACCAAACTATCGTGTCTAACTAGCTAGCAGATTGCTTGGTACAATGACAGTTTTCTGTAGTCAGAATGAGACTAGAGCATATCAAACTATCGTGTCTAACTAGCTAGCAGATTGCTTGGTACAATGACAGTTTTCTGTAGTCAGAATGAGACTAGAACATACCAAACTATCGTGTCTAACTAGCTAGCAGATTGCTTGGTACAATGACAGTTTTCTGTAGTCAGAATGAGACTAGAGCATACCAAAGTATCGTGTCTAACTAGCTAGTGGATTGATTGGTACAATGACAGTTTTCTGTGGTCAGAATGAGACTAGAGTATACCAAGCTATCGTGTCTAACTAGCTAGCAGATTGATTGATACAATGATAGTTTTCTATGGTCAGAATGAGACTAGATTATACCAAACTATCGTGTCTAACTAGCTAGTTGATTGTTTGGTACAGTAACAGTTTTCTGTGGTCAGAATGAGACTAGATTATACCAAACTATCGTGTCTAACTAGCTAGTTGATTGTTTGGTACAGTAACAGTTTTCTGTGGTCAGAATGAGACTAGATTATACCAAACTATCGTGTCGAACTAGCTAGTGGATTGATTGGTACAATGACAGTTTTCTGTGGTCAGAATGAGACTAGAGCATACCAAACTATAGTGTCTAACTAGCTAGTAGACTGCTTGGTACAATGACAGTTTTCTGAGACTAGAATATACCAAAGTATCGTGTCGAACTAGCTAGTGGATTGATTGGTACAATAGCAGTTTTCTGTGGTCAAAATGAGACTAGAGCATACCAAACTATAGTGTCTAACTAGCTAGTAGACTGCTTGGTACAATGACAGTTTTCTGAGACTAGAATATACCAAACTATCCTGTCTAACTAGCTAGTAGATTGTTTGGTACAATGACAGTTTTCTGCGGTCAGAATGAGACTAGAGCATACCAAACTATAGTGTCTAACTAGCTAGTAGACTGCTTGGTACAATGTCAGTTTTCTGAGACTAGAATATACCAAAGTATCGTGTCGAACTAGCTAGTGGATTGATTGGTACAATGGCAGTTTTCTGTGGTCAAAATGAGACTAGAGCATACCAAACTATAGTGTCTAATTAGCTAGTAGACTGCTTGGTACAATGACAGTTTTCTGAGACTAGAATATACCAAAGTATCGTGTCGAACTAGCTAGTGGATTGATTGGTACAATGACAGTTTTCTATGGTCAGTATGAGACTAGAGCATACCAAACTATAGTGTCTAACTAACTAGTAGACTGCTTGGTACAATGACAGTTTTCTGAGACTAGAATATACCAAACTATCGTGTCTAACTAGCTTATAGATTGTTTGGTACAATGACAGTTTTCTGTGGTCAAAATGAGACTAGAGCATACCAAACTATAGTGTCTAACTAGCTAGTAGACTGCTTGGTACAATGACAGTTTTCTGAGACTAGAATATACCAAAGTATCGTGTCGAACTAGCTAGTGGATTGATTGGTACAATGACAGTTTTCTGTGGTCAGAATGAGACTAGAGCATACCAAACTATAGTGTCTAACTAGCTAGTAGACTGCTTGGTACAATGACAGTTTTCTGAGACTAGAATATACCAAAGTATCGTGTCGAACTAGCTAGTGGATTGATTGGTACAATGACAGTTTTCTGTGGTCAGAATGAGACTAGAGCATACCAAACTATCATGTCTAACTAGCTAGTAGATTGTTTGATACAATGATAGTTTTCTGTAGTCAGAATGGGACTAGAGCATACCGAAGTATCGTGTCGAACTAGCTAGTGGATTGATTGGTACAATGACAGTTTTTCTGT